ATACCACATTTTGTTTATCTCTTCATCTGTTGATGGACATTTGGGTTGTTCCTACCTTTTGGCTATTGTGAATAATGCTATGAACATTGGTATATAAGTATCTGTTTTGAGTCCCTGTTTTCGATTCTTTGGGGTATATACCTAGCTGAATCATATGGCAATTCTATGTTTAATTTTTTTGTTTGTTTGTTTTGCACAGTAGCTGCACCATTTTACAGTTTCATCAGCAATGCAGAAGAGTTCCACTTTCTCCATACACTCACCAACACTTGTTATTTTCTGTTTTTGTTTTTATTTTTATTAGCCATCCTAATGGGTGGAAAGTGGTATTTCATTGTGGTTTTGATTTGTATTTACCTGATGATGTGAACATCTTTTCATGTGCTTATTTTTCCATTTGTATATCTTCTTTGGACAAATATCTATTCAGATCCTTTGCCCATTTTTTAATTAGGTTATTTGTCTTTTTATTATTGAGTTGTAAGAGTTCTTCTGGAAACAAGTCCCTTATCAGTATATGATTTACAAATATTTTTCCCATTCTGTGGGTTGTCTTTTCATTTTTTTGATAGTGTCCTTTGAAGCACACTTACTAATTTTGAGGAATTCCAGTCTATCTATTGTTTTGCTTGTGCTTTTCCTGTTGTATCTAAGAAGTCATTGTCTAACAAAAGGTCATAAAGATTTACTCCTATGTTTTCTTCTAAGTGTTTTATATTTTATTTTTTATTTCTTACATTTAGGTCTCTGATTCATTTTGAGTTAATTTTTGTATATGGTGTGAGGTAGGGGTCCAAATTCATTGTTTTGTATGTAGATATTAAGTTGTCACAGCACCATGTGTTGAAAAGACTGTGCTTTCCCCATTAGTGGTCTTGGTACCCTTATTGAAAATCAATTGACCATAAATGTAAGGGTTTATTTCTGGACTCTCGATTCTATTCCATTGATTGATATGTCTATAGTTATGCCAGTACTACAGGTTTTTTATTATTGTAGCTTTGTAGTAAGTTTTGAAAACAGGGTGTATGAGTTCTCCAAATTTGTTCTTTTTCAAGATTGTTTTGGTTCTTCTGGGTCACTTGCTGTGCAGAAAAGAGTTAACATAGCAGGCATAACTGCTTATGCTTAAAAAGGCCTTCCTACAAGGTTGGCTCTTGGCTGAAATTGGATTTCTAAGAGTGGCTCACTACACCTAAACTGTTTATACAAACGATATGGTTTAAGTGAACACCTGCTTTCCTTCTGGAAGTCTGAAGTTTTGGTACATGCTAATCAGAGGGTGCCTAGATACCACATAGAGTGCCCCAATAAACACCCTGGGCACTGAGTCCCTAATGAGCTTCCCTGTGGACATTTCACATGTGTGACCACGACTCATTGCTGGGGGAATTAAGCACATCTTGTGCAGCTGCACCGGGAGAAGATCCTGGGAAACTGGTGCCTTGTTTCCACAGACTTCGCCCTATGCACCTTTTCCTTTTGCTACTGTTCTGTATCCTTTCATTGCAATAAATCATAGCCATGAGTACAACTATGTGAGTCTGCTAGTGAATCCTCAAACCTGAGGGTGATCATGGGTGTCCACAACACACGTATCAATGTGAACATATTAATGTTGAGATCAGCTTCCCAAAAAGCCTTCTGGGACTTTTACAAGGATTGCATTGACTTTATCTATTTGGGGAGTATGGCCATCCTAACAATATTGCTTTCCAATCCATAAACACAGATGTCTTTTCATTTATCTAGGTCCACTTTTATTTCCTTCAGTGATGTTTTGTAGCATTTAGTTTAGAAGTCTTGCACTTTGTTAAATTTATTCCTTAGAAGTCTTGTACTTTGTTAAATTTATTCCTAAAGAGTTTGTACTTTTTGATGCTATTGTAAATGGAGTGGTTTTCTTAATTTCATTTTTGGTTTGCTTATTGCAAACCAAATAGTTTTGACTATATAGAAATACAGTTGATTTTTCTGTATTGATCCCATATCTTGCAACTTTGCTGAACTTGTTTATTAGCTCTAATAGTGCATGTATATTCTTTAGGGTTTTCTATATATAACATCATGTCATCTGCAGATTGAGAGTTTGCTTCTTCCTTTCCATGATGTATAATCCTTTGCTACTATTTTGTTGAGAATTTTGGTGTCTATATTCATGAGACATTGGTTAGTAGTCTTCTTTTCTTGTGATGTCTATGTCTGGTTTTGGTATCAGAGTAATACCGGCCTCATAAAATATGTTGGGAAATGTTCCTTCTTCAATTTTTTTGGAAAAGTTAGTGAATAATTGCTATTAATTCTTCCTTGTTTGGTAAAATTCATTAGATTATCTTGTGTGTGTGTGTGTGTGTGTGAGAGAGAGAGGAAGATTAGCTCTGAGCTAACATCTGTTGCCAATCCTGCCCTTTTTGCTGAGGAAGACTGGCCCTGGGCTAACATCTGTGCCCATCTTCCTCTACTTTATATAGGATGCTACCACAGCATGGCTTGACAAGCAGTGCGTCAGTGTGTGCCCGGGATCTGAACCCACAAACCCCGGGGTGCAGAAGCAGAGTGTGCAAACGTAACTGCTGTGCCTCCGGGCTGGCTCCTAGATTATCTTTTATTTTATTTATTTATTTATGTATTTATTTATTTATTTAGTGAGGAGATCAGCCCTGCACTAACATCCGCCAATCCTCCTCTTTTTTTGCTGAGGAAGACTGGCCCTGGGCTAACATCTGTGCCCATCTTCCTTCACTTTATATGGGATGTTGCCACAGCATGGCTTGCCAAGCAGTGCGTCGGTGCGCGCCCAGGATCCTAACCAGCGAACCCCGGGCCTCCACAGCAGAGCGCGCGCACTTAACCGCTTGCGTCACCAGGCTGGCCCCTAGATTATCTTTTAAAGATGTTAAAAATTAGAAATATCTTTTATATTTGGCCACATATTTACTTTTTCTTTACTTGTCATTCTTTTGTGTACGTCCACGTTCCATTTGCTATCATGTTCCTTTCATATGAAGAGCTTACTTTAAATATTTCTCATAGCGCACATTTGCGTGTGATAAATTCTCTTAGCGTTTGTTTGTCTAAAAGTTGTGTTGTTGTTTTTTAATTTCAGTCTTTTTAGGATATCACACCATTGGCCTCTGGCTTGCAGAGTTTCTGACAAAGTTCTTCATCATTCCTCTCTTTGTTCCTCCGTATGTAATGTGTCTTTCTTGTGTGAAACTTTAAGGTTTTCTCTTTATCATTGTTTTTCAGCAATTTGATCATGATCCACCTTGGTGTGGCTTTATGTTTATTCTCCCTATGTTTCGTTGACCTTCTTGGATATGTGGGTTCATAGTTTCATCAAATTTGGAAAATTTTCCAGCTATTATTCAAATGTAGTTTCTGTTCTTCCCTCTCTCTTCCCTTGTTCTGGACTCGAAGTGCACAGATATTAGACTACTTGATGTATTTCCACAGGGAACTGATCCTCTGTTCATTTTTTTCCCATTTTTTCTCTTTTTCATTTTGAATAGTTTCTATTGCTATGTCTTCATGTTCACTTATATTTTCTTCTGGTATTAGACAGTGAACTTTGCATTTCATATATTTTATTTTTCCTCTCTAGAAGTTCCATTTAGGTCTTTTTTATATCTTTCATTTCACTTTTCAGCACGTTTATGTTTTCCTTTTTATCTTCGAGTATATTTATAACATTTATAAAAGCTGTTTTAAGGTCTTTGTCTGCTTCTTTCCTTATCTCTATCAGGTCTTTTTATTTTTTTTAATTTTTTTAAAATTTTTTTTATTTTTCCCCCAAAGCCCCAGTAGATAGTTGTATGTCATGGTTGCACATCCTTCTAGTTGCTGTATGTGGGACGCGGCCTCAGCATGGCCAGAGAAGCGGTGCCTCGGTGCGCGCCCGGGATCCGAACCCGGGCCTTCAGCAGCGGAGCGCGAGCACTTAACCGCTAAGCCACGGGGCCGGCCCTCTATCAGGTCTTTTCTCACTGACTGAGTTTTCTCCTCATCATGGGTCACATTTTCTTGCTTCTTTCTATGTCTAGTAAATTTTTATTGGATGCTTGATATTTTTAATTTTACACAGGTTAAGTGTTGGATTTTGTTGTCTTCCTTTAAAGAGTGTTGGACTTTTTCTGGAAAGCAGTTACTATTGGATGTTTGATCATTTTAAGGCTTGTTTTTAAGTTTTTTGTGGCACGTCTAGTTTTATTCTAGAACTAATTTTGCTCTACTTCTAATGTGTGGTCCCTCTGGGTTCCCTACTGAATGCCTCTTATAATCAATCAGATCTCTCCACTCTGGCTGGAGGGGATGTAAGTTATTTATGTCGCACTGTGAGCTCTAGGAAACGTTAATCTTACAGGGCCCTTGTTACTACTCTTTCAGAGGAAGTCATTCTTGCCTTGCCTCATGGGTTTGCACATTACATGTGTTCAGATTATCATTCAGCTAAAGACTGAAGGGGACCTCTATGCAGACTTACGGAGATTTTTGCTTTGGTTTGCATAGCTCTGTTCTTTCCAGAACTCTTGCCCTTCAAATTCTAGCTGCCTTGGCCTCCCTGAGCCACGATCTCTGGCTCCGCAACTCAGTGGGATCACTGGACCCTCAGTGTCCTGCAGCCTCTAGGCAGTGAGCTGGGGTGGTCATAGCGTTTGACTCATGTGTTTCCCTTTGTTCAGTGATCACAGTCCTGCAATGTCTGTGGTCCAGTGTCTGAAAATGTTGCTCATGTATTTTGTCCAGTTTTTTAAGTTGCTTACAGTAGGAGAGTATTCTGGAGTGTCTTCATCCTGCACAGTCAGAAGCTCAAATCTCCACCAAGTCTGTGTGTGTTCAATCTGACAAAACTCTGCCAGCTGGCACCCATTACAGCTGCAGCACCCTGTGCTTCCACCAGCAATGCCTGGGGAGTCCTGTTGGAGTGTGGACACACTGAGCTGAACTCTGAAGCAGACATGCCTCTTTACTCCCTGCCCTTTCTCCCTTGCCTTCTGCAGAAAAAGTGTGAGTGTTACTGGGCCCGAGAAGAGGAACCATTGCAGACTGGGCTTTTCTGCATCACCCTGGTGAGTAGGGGCAGAGGTGGGAAGAGTTCATGGGGTCTTGGATGTTGTGGGAAGTTTCACAGAAGATTCTCAGAGTGGAAAGCTTTTGGACTGGGCCTGAAAGGATGATGTTTCCCCTCACACTGCAGGGAGCTCTCCGGTACTCACAGGCAGACAGTCAGAACTCAATATATGCATTGCTTTTGCATTTTAACTATGATCATGGTTATCTCTGTAATATCAACGTGTCTGGTTATGTTCTTAAAATCTTATTTCCCTTACCATTTCAAAAGAACTCAGGAAAATCTCTCACCTCAAGTCATACATAGAGTTATTACTTAATAAATACAATAAAACTGTTTTGTTTTAGAACAAAAGAAATCTTTTTCACTGTAAATGAGCTTGTTTGGGTTGTTAATCATAGTTCCTCTTTTTCTCCTCTGTGAAATGTTTCATTCACAAAAACCATGGGGGATGTTTGGGCTAAATGAATTTTTAAAAATATGTTGTTTGGGGGCCAGCCCCGTGGCTTAGCAGTTAAGTGCGCACGCTCCGCTACTGGCGGCCTGGGTGCGGATTCCAGGCGCGCACCGACGCACCGCTTGTCCGGCCATGCTGAGGCCGCATCCCACATACAGCAACTAGAAGGATGTGCAACTATGACATACAACTATCTACTGGGGCTTTGGCGAGAAAAAGGGGGAAAAAAAAGGAGGAGGATTGGCAATAGATGTTAGCTCAGGGCTGATTTTCCTCACCAAAAAAAAAGCTAAAAAATAAAAATATGTTGTTTGTATTTGACTTTTAATCAGAAATCCTTGTTTCCTGTCAATATGTCTTTCGGCCCTGGTGGTCTTTGTTCTCCCCTCTTCCCACCTGGCCCCCATCTTCAGACCAGGGAGACATGGCTGAATGCAGACATCATGCTCAGGACCCTCCAAGTCACCTTCCAGAAGGTATTGAAAGGGGAGGAGGAGGCTCACAGATGGGGAGAGCTGTTTCCTGTCTCTGTTTTCTCATCTGTAAAATGGGCATTAACAATAGTACCTATCTCCTCAGTTATCAGTTGGATTTAAATGGAAGACATTTAGAACTGGGCCTGACATGTAGTAGGTACTCAATAAATGCTTTTCCTTCTTTCTTTTTTTATTCTTTGCTCCTCTTCTCCTGTGTTTCAGGAATCTCGTTCTGTGTACCAGCTGCAGTATATGTCCTGGCCAGACAAAGGGGTCCCCAGCAATCCTGACCACGTGCTCACCATGGTGGAGGAAGCCCGTCGCCTGCAGGGCTCTGGTCTCAGCCCCCTCTGTGTCCACTGCAGGTCTAGGAGTGGGCATTATGGGGGTCTGGTGAGACAGAAAGGACCGGGCGTGGGGAAGGGAGGCAGGGAGGACAGTGCAGGCCTGGGAGCCAGCCTTGCAGTTACAGTGCCTGTTTCAAGAAACCTGAAGCCACACTTGCTCACACCACCTTGCCTGAAACTGTTAGCCTTTGTGGAGCACAGATTGCCAGCTAGGGGGTGAGCACACAGTTGATGCTCAATGAATGTAAACAATTACAAGGCTTTTCCTTTAAATTGTAATCTGGGGATTCTGAGAATCAAAAGGCGCTGCAGGGATCCCCCATGTGGGCCCTCATCCCCAGTCCCAAATGCCCTGTCTAAAAGGGGTTGTGGGCAGGCCATGACCGAGCTTGCTCTGATTCTCGCTTGTCAGTGCGGGCTGTGGGCGAACAGGCGTCCTGTGCACTGTGGATTATGTGAGACAGTTGCTCCTGACCCAGGTATGAAGAGGGCATACATGTGCAGGTGTGCAGTGTGGGTCTCATGCCCACGAGGTCCTGCTCATGTGCCCTGTCTCTCTGACCCAGATGATCCCACCCAACTTCAGCCTCTTCGATGTGGTCCTTGAGATGCGGAAGCAGCGGCCTGCAGCTGTACAGACAGAGGTGCAAGCCTCAGTGTCCTCACTGCAAGGACATAGCCCTTCTCCTCTTGTCTGCCCTTCCTGATGACCCCTCTTCCTCCACCAGGAGCAGTACAGGTTCCTGTACCAAACGGTGGCTCAGATGTTCTTCTCAGCACTCCAAAATGCCAGCCCCCATTACCAGAACCTCAGGGAGGTACCAAGGCCCCCTTCCTACTCTCTTCCTGTCCACCATCAACACCCTCAGAGACCAGGACCCAGGGCAGAAGTCTGTGACCACCAGCATCACAGCATCCAGCCCTGGATGGACTCCTGGAAGCGCGCACTGACTCACTAGGATATCTACCTTTGTCTGCCTCCTTGCTCCCTTATCAGACTGTCCCTACTTAAGCTTACCCCACAGAGCCCATGGTGACCTCCATCATGGGCCTGGCCAGACCCCCTGAAGCCTCATGCCCTTCCCTCCTGTCTTTCCCCAGAATTGTGCCCCACTCTATGATGATGCCCTCTCCCTCCGGACTTCCCAGACCCTTCCTGCCATACCCCGCCTACCTAGCGGGGTCCTCAGGTACCCAGTTCCCTCCTCTCAGTCTTCCCTTTCCAATTTCTCATGCTCAGAAGCTAACCCTTTTCTCACCCTTGAAATACCAGCCCTTTCATTGCTGTTCAGTTCATCAAATATTCACTGGCCCTTTCTTTGAATTGAGCTCTGGGAACCTGCCCTGAGATGACTCTTTAATCCCAGGGACCCCGCTGCCTCTGCCTCTAAGGCTAGCCCTTCGTTCAGATGTTAGCCCATTTCTTGCCCCCCCCCCCCAGTCATTAATTCAGCAGGTATTTCTTGATGCCACCCACTTGTCAGGCCTCCTGTTGGGTGCTGCGGACACGGAGTTGACTCTAGTTTGCAGCAGAGATTTCACTCCTTCGTCCTTGAGACTAGCTCTCCATTTTGAGACTATCCCTTCCTCCCCTTTAGATGCCACTTCCTCATTCACTTATTCAATAAACACAGAAATGACCACCTCTCAATACCAATGCCCTGCCCCATTCACCTGCCAGGCTGGCCTCTGACCTCCTTCATCCACCTAATTTGCTGGGCGCTAGCGACACAGAACGGAGATCCCTGAACCCAGTGCCCCCTCCCTCTCCCCTCTGAGAGCCGCCCGCCTCCTCCCTCCTTAACTGGGGAAGGAAGCTGTGGTTTGTGCGCTGAGCACGCTCCCCTCTCCCCTCCCTTCCTCCCTCCCTCGGCGCTGTCCTTTCACTTCCTCCCCGCCCTCCCCACCGCAGGAGCATCTCAGTACCCGGGCCCCCGGCCCTCGCCATGGCCGACACGTACGCGGTGGTGCAGAAGCGCGGGGCCCTCTCTGGCACCGGCTTGGGGCCGGGGGCGCGCGGCACGGAGGAGGCGCCGCTCTACAGCCAGGTGGCGCCGCGCGCCCGGCGGCCCCAGGCGCACGCAGAGGACGCGCGGGGGGCGCTGCCCGGCAGCGGTGAGTCGAGGCCGGCCCGGGGCGCGGGGCTGGGAGGGCCGGCACCCACCTGCTCCTTCTCCGGACCCCGTCTTGCTGGGGTCGGGAGGCCCCGGCGGCCACGCGGACCCCCGCCCACAGGTCTGGCCTGGTCACGCCCCCGAGGCTGACGTCCGTGCTTCCCTAACCACGCCTCTGGGACTGTCGCCCGTGGTCCGGTCACGGCCGGAAGTGTCACAGGCCGAACCGCGGGGCCGAGGCCGGGTCGGCTTCGCCGGCTGCGGTCTCGCTCTTGGCTCCGCCCACCTCGTCCGGCGCCCGAGGAGGTGGCTCCGCGCCGGGCCGGCTGCCGAGCTCGGCGGGGCGGCCTGAGTTGACTCGTGGGGTGGTTTCCTGCCCGCAGTTCCTGCTGACCAAAGCCCTGCTGCGCCTGGCGCCTACGAGGACGTGGCGGAGGGAGCTCAGACCGGTGGGCTAGGTAAGTCAGACAAAGCCCGGGTCGCCGGGACTCTGCAGCTTTGACTGAAGCCCAGGAGTTTGGGGTTTAGGCATGGTGGGATGGGAGTCATGCCCTGAGAGTCCTGTGGATGTGCCTGCAGTAAACCAGAAGGGTCTGGAGGCTTCGGGATGGCCTTCTACAATTTGCCTACCTCTCCACATCTCAGCTTCTCCATAAGACCCATGGTTCCCCTCCTTTCTCAGGCTTCAACGTGCGTATTGGAAGGCCTAAAGGACCCCGGGACCCCCCTGTCGAGTGGACCCGGGTGTGAGCGCTGTGCCCCCGCCTGCCTGCCTGTTACTCCCCCTTGGCGCTTGGACTGCTGACGGCCATGCTCTGCGGGGGCGGAATGCTGGGCTTGGATCAAAATAAAAGTTTCTCAGGGTGGGAAATGTGGGGGCTCTGCCCCAGTGATCGTAGCATTCAAGGCTTGGGATGGGAGGTGGGGGTAGTTGGGAGATAATGGCTGGTGAAGCTGCGCTGAGCAGATTCAAGAATAAACATCAGCAATGGGCTCAACCTCAAAGGGCTGGGCACAGCCCCCTACTTGTGAAGGGGAGGATGGACAGATGGGCTTCTGGAGACTGCCCCATCACCACATAATAGATTAGTTTATCTCAGTATCTGAGCCCCCCTCACTCAGACACAGAGAGATGGATGGACCCTGTGAAAGACTGATGGACACCCCCACCTTTAAGACAGATCTAAGTCAGGCATAAAAACAGCCAACCAGACTGATTTCACAGACAGGTAAAAAGATCCTCAGATGGGCAGACAGACAGATGGACCCCCAACCTGGACAGGCAGATAGCCATACCCCTAGACAGGCCTTCAGAGGGACAGTCCACAGCTGGATGAATGAACCTCCAGCCATAGAGAAAGACTAACCAACAGCCTGACAGACCACTTCTAGCAAAAGTGACCACCCAAAAGACAGGACCCCTCCCCCAGCTAGGCAGCCAGCCAGACACCAGCCAGATGGACTTCTACCTAGCTGGACGAACTCCCAGACAGATATAAACAGATCCCTAGCTCAACAGAGATGTCCTCTTAGCTAGACAGACCCCTCAGTTACACAGACCCACAGCCAGGTGGGCAAACTGACAGACCTTGTCAGATAGACTTCCAACTAGCCAGATGGACTCCCAGCCAGAGAGACACCAGCCACACAGACAGACCCTTGATTGCACAGACACCCCAACTTGCCAGCCAGACTCCCAACTAGGCAGATAGGTGGACCTCCAGACAGGTGAATGGACCTGACCAACTCACTAACTACACAGAACTCAAATTTTGGCAGACAAATTGATACATCTCCTGCTGGGAAGATAGCCAGGTCGACCCGCACTATTACACCATCTCCCAACTGGGCATACACTGCGGATCACCAGATCCTTCAGATAGACTCCCTGCTAGACAGATGGATTCAGCCCCTCAAATAGATTGGACCGGTTGGGTGGTTGGATCCCTCATTGGACAGATGGACTCCCAGCCAGACAGTGAGACACTATCCTCAGCCGGAGAGGTAGGTGGACCCCAAGCCAACTGGCCAGCTAGATCCCAAGCTGGATGGACAGACCCTAAACCAGATGAAGGGGTGGACCCCCAGTAAGTAAGTCAGACCCTATTTAGACAGACCCCCAGCCTGAGAGACAGAAAGACCTCCAACCAGACTGACCCCTAGCTGTTCACACAGGCCCCTGGCCTGAGAGACCCCCAACCTTTGAGCTGGACTGCAGATGCAGACAGACTGCCAGCTTGACAGACCTCTAGCCTCACAGAAAGATCAACTGACCCCAGACTGACAGACCAGTTCCTAGCCAGACAGACTGATGAACCTCCAAGTAGATAGACTCAGCTGGAAAAATGAACTCCAGACAGACTGACTCCCAGCTTGATAAGACCCTCAGACAAACCCCTGGCTGGACAGACATGCAGACCCCCAATCAGAAAGACAACAGCCAGACAGACCCCCATCTAAACAGGTAGACACTCAGCCAGGCTGATCTCCAGCTGGACAGACAGATGGACTACCCAGCCAGAAAACAGTTCCCCACCCCTTCAAACCAGACAGAACTCCAGGTGGACAGCAAGACAAGAGTAAATTCACACTTGATGGTCCAGAGCCCTGACCCTGCTCCGTGAGCCTCCCTCAGTGTGGTCTTCCCGACGGTGTCTGTCTGACGTCAGGTTCATCTGGGCAGACTCCCAGCCTTCCCTCCCCAACACAGTGCCCTTCCCAGGCTGTTGGAAAGCTGTCTTGTGTCTGTGATGAGCATGGACCACCGAGGCCTCTACTTGCCCCTGCCCAGCCAGGCCACAGCCCTCATACTGTTACTGTGGGAAGCCAGTGAAGAGAGAATATGAAGACTTAGTTCAGGAGCCTGCCTTGTGCTCAGTAAACATCAGCCCCTAATTAGCTCTGGGCCCTGCATTCAATATAGGTCCTGACACCAGTCATTTGCCCTTTGAATGTTGGTGAGAGGAGGATGAAACTTGCCTTCCTTGACTGCAGCAGTGCTTGCTGGCAGTGGCTTAATTTATCAAGTGCTATAAGGTCTCTGCACAAGAAGAAAGTCAACCAGCAGAAACCAGGAATTGATGAGAAATATAGGGATTCTCCAGCTTAACAGGGAACAGGAAGCCAGCAACACCTGGAGTCCAAACTTTCAGGTGAAAATTGGAGCTGACCTTGATGGAAAGAGGCAGGAAGGAGGCCCCGGAGCTGCTGGTAGCAGAGGAGGGTCAAGGTGTCATTTAGACCATAGACCAACCTCTAATCCAGAAATATTAAGTTCATTTGGTTCCGGAGACCAGAAGGGGAAAAGCAGTAGTGTTTCAGAGGAGAAGGGGCCTATTGCAGAAGAAAGAGGCATATTTCCTCCTGACAGAAGGGAAACTAATGCCAGTTAGAACATTGGTCTCCTGGGGTCTGTCCTGAGGCCGGTGCCCACTCAGCCCATTTTCCTATCAGAAGCCATGACGGTGGGGCTGCAGTAGGCAGATTCAGGTAAGATGTTTTAGTGATTAGGTTTGAGGCCAAGCTGTTTGCAGTTCTCAGCTTTGCATTCTGATCAGCATGAAGAGCAGTTCTGCTGAAATTGAAGAGAACAACACCCTTGTGACTAGTTGAGTGGGAAGACGCCCAGCAACATAGAGAAATCCGTAGGCTTGCAAGGCAGAGTGTGCAGGAGAGCACCGGGCTGGGCTCTTCACGTATTTTGTCTCATTTAATCTGTAAAACAATATTTGTAAGTAGGGACTGTCACTGCACCCCTTTACAGATGAAAAAGAGGCTCAGGAAAAACAGCTGTTAGTTTGAGATTCAAACCCAGATCTAGGTCTCAGTGTTCAGTGGTATAGAATATATGGCTCTGAGCGAGAAGCCCTCAGTCATTAAATGACTACAAGTAGCTATCGTTGACCGGGTGCTTCGTGCGCACGTGGCTGAGCCATCCGTCTTCGAGCAACCCCATGATAGAGGTGCCTTTGTTCTCCCCACTTTGCGGAACCCAGTGATCACTGTACTGAGCACAGCGTCATTTAGTGTTTCTTCACACTAAGTAGGGCTGCATCGTGGTGGGTAATAGTTTGAATTCAGTCGCTTACTAGTTTTGTGATCTTGAGCAAGCTTCTTAATTTCCCTCCAGTTCAGTTTCCTAGTCTGTAAAGTGGGGGCAATAAAGTTGCCTTTATCATAGGGTTGCCACATATACGATTGTTCAGAGCAAGAGTGAATCTGGATTTTTACAACAGACATAGGAAGGTTTCTTATTTTTTCAGGGATTATCTCCAGAATAAAACAGAAGTCTATACAGTTGGAAGGATATCAAAAGCTCTACCTAAGACAAATAAATGAAAGTAAATTTGATTATGCATTCTCCTGCTTAAAGCCCAGTGGCCCTCGTCTTTGATAACTGTTGCATTATAAATCAATGGGCAGAAAAATGGTTTATTTAACATAGGTTATTAAGATAATTAAATCGTCATTTAGGAAAAAAGAAGTTTGAGCCATACATCATAACTTACAGCAGGATAAATTCCAAACACATCAAAGATTTAAGTGTAAAATATTAAACCACAAAAGTATTCGAAAAAGTTATGGGAAAATTTCTTTATAATCTTGGACTGCAGAAGTCCTGCTAACTGTGGAAAGACAAGTTAGAAGCCCAAAAGAAATATTGATACATTTTAATGCATAAAAATGTTTCAACCTCACAAGAATCGCCATAAGCATAGTCAGAAAATTAATGAAAAACTTGAAAAAAATTTACAACTGAGATCAAACAAAAGGCTAATTTTCTGAGATGTAGTAAGCTCCTTTGAATCAATAAGTAAAGGCCAAAAACTCAAAATAAAAATGTGCAAAGATGCCCTAGCTCATGCGTAATAAACATGAAAATTAGAATTATACTGAGAGAGCCATTTCACTTATGTTAGCAAAGATCAAGAAGTTTAATGACACAGTGTGTTGGCTAAGATGAGCACACACGTTCTCATAGAGAGTCAGTGGGCGTATAAATTCATACCCCCTCTGTGGAGAGCACTTTAACAATATCTATTAGAATTAAAAATGCACATACTCTTTGAGCTAGAAATTTCATTTCTAGGCATTTATCATACGTGGGTACTCATGGAACTCCAAAGTGACTCTTCCAACAGGTTATTCACTGTAGCACTGTCTGTGGTTGCAGAAGGGTGGAAACACTTCAATAAAGTGTTCTCGGTAGGGGCCTGGTTAGTAAATGCTAGGATGGAAGATTATGCAGCTGGAAAAATGGTGGGGGGAACAAGAACACCTCTGCACTGGTGTGGACAAATCTCCAAATCACGTTGTAAAATGAAAAAAATAAAAGAGTATATTAACTTAGGTTAAAAAAAGAAAAATATTTTTGTATGAACATATAAACATGTTTTTCCTTGGATACACATAAAGTATGTTTGGAAAAAGCACAAGAAACTTGACAGAGACTGAGTGTCTGGGGCCATGTTTTCTGCAGCCCCATGTGCTGTGCTTCAGCCACCCTGCCTTCCTTTCACTTCCTCAGACCATCCACGCTCAGACATTTGTGTTTGTTGTCCTGTCTCCAGAGCCTCGAGTGACCATCTCTGGCCCTTGTGGGCACCCAGATCCCTGCCAGCACTGCTATGGTGCCATGGGGTCCCACATCCAGCACTGTCCTGCCATATTCTGAGTGAAGGCTGGCCTTCTCCTGCCTCCATCTGGCCACATCCTTCGTCGACCAGAAGTGCCTTGGAATGAACTCCCTCCACTTCTGCCCAGGAGGCCTTCAGTCAGCAAATGACAGGGTGATATATAAATGCCCATCAGCAGGGTGACTCGGAGGTGTGCATTTCCCACAGGCTCCCAAAGCTTTCCTGAGAGGGTTGA